TAAGATCGCCGCCTAAGATTGTTTCCCTTAAGGGACCGTTTCTCCACTACCAGGTCCATTGCAAATGAATGGTTTGCATGAACACGGAAGACCTATTGGCATGCGAAGTGTTTACCGACGAATGAGAAGTTTTGGCTTGTTTTCATACCGGCCACACTGGGTCCTCCCTTTAACTCGAGAACACCGACGTAATCGCCTTGAGTGGTGCAGACAACGGTTACTCTGGGATCAGGAATGGAACAGTATTGTCTTTAGTGACGAGTCTCGATTTTCTTTAGGCATGCACGATGGTCGTGCCAGGGTTAGAAGGCGACGTGGTGAAAGGAGGAATCCACAGTTTTTTGTTGAAAGACATGTTCATCACACTGTTGGAGTTATGGTTTGGGGTGCTATAGCTTATGGTTCCAGGTCACCTTTAATCTTCATCAGAGGTAACATGAACGCGCAGCGTTATATCCACGAAGTTCTAGAACCCCATCTTTTACCCTATCTTGACACCCTGGCAGATCCAACTTTCCAACAAGATAATGCCCGACCACATGTTGCAAGAGTCACAATAGACTTCTTTCAACATAATGATGTCACATTGTTACCATGGCCACCAAGATCTCCCGACTTATCCCCAATTGAGCACGTGTGGGATATGATGGGTAGGAGATTGCTCAATTTGCAACGTCCTCCTCAGACTCTAGAAGCACTTCGAGAGGAGTTGGAGGTTGCCTGGAATGAGATACCTTAGGAGGACATTGACCACCTGATCAGAAGCATGCCTAGGCGCGTTGGAGAATGCGTAGCACATCAGGGTGCATCCACACATTATTAAAGGTCAAAGGGCTTTAAAGCAGTGCAATCATTTTGAAATTTTTATCATTTACTTATTATGCTTCATTAAGTACTTATACAAAATTTTATTAAAATAAAACCATTTAAACTGGGTGTTCGGATTTATATGTCACTTAGTATAATATGAAATGCAAAATGAATTCAATTATGTTCAAAAGTCTTGGGAAATATAATAAATTGTCGCAGCACATAAAATCTAGCAGCAATGGTAAAATTCATTATAATTAATTTTAGTTGAAGAATTTGTGAACTGATATAATGCAACCAGTTGTTGTTGTAAATTACAACTTCTAACAACTTCTCTTTGGAGTAAGAAAATGGAACTTTTGGGATTCTCCACCGGTATCGGTCGAAAACTGACATCAGATTGGTGATCTACGATTTACGCAAGAAACAATTTTTGTTCGAGATGACTGATACGGAAGAACTTTTGAAAATTTTGATCTATAGTTTCTTTCAAATATCGTCAAGGTTTTGGTCAAGATTGCACATAGGGAAAAAAATGGAAATCGCCTTGACAAGACGCTATATCTCACCTTTACGTCCCGCCAAAACAAAAATCAACGCGCGAAGTTAAAATTTGAGAGCCTCTATTGGCCAGCAGGCCATAAATCCCTGGTTAACCAGCAAGCGAATAGAAACGGCGATCGAGTTCTCATATTTGTTTCAATAGGGTATAGTTCTTTTCTGAGATTTTAATTGGTTACAATTCTGACAAAAAATCGTTACAAAATTACTGTGGCGTCAGGAAGTTAAAGCGTCCTTTAGGGTTCTGTGTCCGCATAAGGGATCCCCGTGAGAATTTTTATACGATCGAGTATTTATGTTTGCTTTGACTTTACTGTTCATCTGATGTTCACATTCATTCAACACAAGCTCTCAGCTAACCATCTACAGTCTCTTATTGACAAGGTCATCTTAACATATGTAGGAGCTCTTGGGTATAGAGGATGCTCGGGGCCTGCGGTTGGAGGGCCCCCAGGGCGGAGCGAAATCCGGGACCCTACTATGCCTTTGGGGGAAAATTGAAGAACACAGATTTTTTGCCCTCAAAGCCGAACATTATCTTCCAATAGCCAAAGATAACTTGTATGAAGCCGGAATTAAGGAGGGGGAGGGAGTCACTCAGTCACAGGGTTCATGTCATATCGGGATTGAAAATTAAAGAGCGGGGAAGGGGTGCGGTGGCGGCTTGTCTGCATTATCAGTAAAAATTGGAGGTTGTCGACGGCTGGCTGAGTGCTTATGACAACCAATTAGGGTTTTCGAACCCGGGTACGCTGGTCCGATATACTAGGGTATTCAAGAGTTTTCGGACCCGGGTAGTACCTACTTGGCGAAAAACCCGGGTATCAATAAAAATGAGGAAATCTTATTTTTCAGCGTAATAAATAAACTTCTTGCACCTTAGAGAAACGTTTTGTTGAGAATGACCCAAAAAACCTGGAAAAACTTTGGCCGATGCGAAAGAAACGATTTTAGGAATCTGTTTATAAAATTCTTCCAACAATTTCTGACGGGTACCATCCGGGCATCCGTGTATTTAAAAAAATACTCGATACCCTGGTATCAAAAAATCCGGGTACGCGAAAACCCTATAACCGATGCCCTTGTGTTAACTGAAGTGCGAAAACCGAGTGGACAAAAAACCTATCAGAAGTCAGACGTATGAAAATTTGGCCTGTCAGGACTGAAACATGCCCGACTAGAGCCGGACGAATGTTGACCCTACCCGTATGCCTACTGATCTTTCCTCTTGATGATTTTTAATAATCCGCTAAAACTAGATGCGGTTGACCGGGTAATGTATCCTGTTTGGGAGTTGTACGCACGGGTACTATAGAGGATAATGACCGTGGCACCAAGTGCTGGTGCATCACCGCGTAGATGCCGTTCAACGCTTAAGAGCGTGACGCGGCGCATCGTGGTCGGCATAGGTTTGTCTCTCCTTGAACCTGCCGGACAGCGTCCTTGTGCATCCGCTACTGCTGACGGCGCCGCGCCACAGCTCTCATACTCTATTCTATTCTAAAGGGTGTCCCAAAATTAACGCAAGATTTGAATTTGCCGCCATTTGTGCAGTGAAGTGTTGGCAACCCTGAAAAAAAGCAATTTGACAGCTAACAGTATAGGGTTATGAAAAATGGAGCGTTACACGATAGAACAACGTGTCTTCATTATTAAAGAATATTTCAAAAATAGTGAAAGCTTGGCGGCTGCAGTTCGAAAATTTCATACAAAATATGGCCGGAATAGTGTTTTAACTTCGTCAACTGTGAAGAGATTAATTGAAAAATTCATGGAGACTGGATCCGTTGGAGACGCCAAACACACTGGTCGTCCAAAAACAAGCCGTTCAAATGTGAATATCGAAGCAGTGCGTGAGAGTGTTGCGGACAATCCAGGAACCTCAATTCGACGTCGTGGACAAGAATTGCAAATGTCAAGAACCTCTCTACAGCGTATACTCACCAAAGATCTGTGTCTTCATGCTTACAAACTTCAATTAACACAACAATTGAAGCTTAATGACCATGCAGAGAGAAGAGAGTTTGTTGAATGGATTATTGAACATCAACAAATGGACCCTGATTTTTCAAGCAAAATCATCCTAAGCGATGAAGCACATTTTCATCTTGATGGCTTTGTCAATCGCCAAAATTGCCGCATTTGGGGTTCGGAGAACAAACGTGTGATTGTCGAAAAAGAAATGCACCCACAACGCGTGACTGTCTGGTGTGGATTTTGGGCTGGAGGCATAATTGGGCCATATTTTTTTGAAAATGATGCTGGTCAAGCAGTGACTGTTACTGGTGCTCGATATCGCGACATGATTACACAGTTCTTTCTGCCAAAATTGAATGATATTGATGTACCCAATATGTGGTTTCAACAAGACGGTGCCACATGTCATACAGCCCGTGAAACAATTCAATTACTGCATGAGACATTTCCCGGTCGTGTACTCTCTCGTTTCGGTGATCAAAATTGGCCTCCTAGATCGTGTGATTTAACACCATTAGACTTCTTTTTATGGGGTTATTTGAAATCACAAGTCTATGTCAACAAGCCCACAACCACCCGTGCATTAAAGGAGGAGATTCAACGCTGCATCAACGAAATTCAGCCACATTTATGCAGAAGGGTCATGGAAAATTTCGACAAAAGAGTGCGCATGTGCATGCAAAGCCGTGGAGGCCATTTGTCCGATGTGTTATTCCATACATAACCCTATCCTATGTACTTTATGAGTCAATAAAAATATAACTATTAAAAGACTAAAAATGGCATTTTCTATTTAATTCAAATCTTGCGTTAATTTTGGGACACCCTTTATATAGTCCGGTCCAGCCTATGAGACATTACTCGAGAAGATGAACCCACGCGATCTGTCTTTCTATTTCGCACGCATGACGTCATTCGGTGACAAATTTCCCCAGAGACAGTTGACAAACGTACAGTTTTATATGACCCTTTAGAGCGTAATTTGTGATTAGTTTCGTTTTTTTCCCAGAGCCGTCCGACCAAAGTCTCCGAAGGCAATTTACAGTACCCAATCCAGCAGAGTCCAATGTTCTGTAACAGTTGGTAGAGTTTCCCTGCTGGTACTGTTCTAAACTTTTTTAGTTTTGGTTGCCCGATGTCTTTTGTGATCAAGCGCCTCGCACTCACATAAGACAAGTAGTGCTGATTCTGTTCCTTTTCCGCATAATCTGCAGCTGACGTCTCCATTACAGCCCTATTATTTTGCAAATGTTTGTTCATGCTATTGCGTCCTGTTGGAAGTCCTGTAGCTCCACGGAGTTAGATTATAGTCATTGAGAGCAGTTCCGTAGCCGTATTTCGACATGGTCCCGAGATGAATTCTTTCCTATGCCCGCATCCAGTCATCAAGTGCCAATATTGCTTGTGCTGGTTTCTTACCCATTCTTTGGTTCCATGTTGTGCTTGTTGGCACCCCAAGGCAGGTGCTGGGTCTGTCAAGGGTGTTGATGATCCTTTCCTTGCGAGCGCAAACTCCTTTTAATTCTCTGCATTACGTGAATGTCCTGGCACCCACATCAAAGTTAGTTTGTTGTGTTCCGCCAGTGTGTGTTCAGTTCTTGTTGGCATTCCCAGATCAGTGCAGACATCACTCCAAGACTTCTTAACACTATGTATATGGCGACCCTTTTATTATTATACGCTCGCTCATTTTTGCTCTTGCGAAGTGCAAGATTGCATGGCCTGAAATACAGAAGTGTGTCAGGATTGCACATGTTACCATATATAACTGCACCTGTTCCCTGCTCAGCTTTTGACACGTTCTTGTACCAGGTAATTTCCCCTTACAGGTTATGCCTTCGATGTTCCGTTCGATATCCTATTTTGGTATCGAAGTTTTTTTGAATCCAAACCTGGTACGTATGTGTTCTTTGTTCTTGCGCGCCTAGTATGTCGCTTCCCACATGTTTCCTTATTTGATCATGTTTAAGGTCCTCATATCTTCCCTTTGGCTGTGACCCCCCCCTCCCCACCATTATTCTATAATTTATCGGCGGGAGGTCCAGCATGGTCTCAAGTGCTGCAGTTGAGGCGCACTTCATTGCATGCACTTGTTATCGACAGGCAAGCAAGTCTTTGTACCTTGCTTAATTCTGTAATGAGCATTGTCTCAGCTTTGGCCAGCACACCAGAGATGCATGAGTTATCATAATCGTCTCGTTAGTTTGTTATCTAACATGTGTGAAATCAGTCTGTAAGAAATATAATAAAAAAACAGTGAATTAAACATTCAACTATGATGTGGTGTGTGGTGTTCAAGCAACAAGAAAAGCAAAAAAAGCATTCCAAATTGGCGTTTCTTCAGTTTTCCAAAGGACAAACAAGTTTGTGAACAATAGGTTCAACAGTGTTACCAGCAACACATATGTAATGTACAAACCGCAATGATAAGGTCGAAGCCTTTTTTGGAAAGTGACCAACTTTGGGCTTTGGAGTTACCTCAAAATAAATGGAAGTTGAAAAGTGATACAATGCCTTCCCTTCATTTGCTTATTGCATAATATAAATTACAGAAAATCTGGGTTATACTCCAGACAGCAATGCTATGTCATTTTCTTGGGTAAATCATATTTCCAAAGGTGGCTGGCTTACTAAAAGCAAATCCAGATTTTCTACTCAAATGTAATGAACTCGACCATATTTTGAAAAATTCCAACATTAAAAATGCCAAAAAATTATTTAAAATCGTTATGCCAGTTAGCGTTAGTGCAGATGCTAAGCAAGCATCTTTTTTATATGTAAAATGTATTTTAAAATATAATGTAAGGTTCAATGATTTTCATAGCCGACAAACAAAGATGCTAGAGCGTACAAAAGTTGACCCAGAGTCATAGCATCTGACGAAATGAATATTCAAACTCCATTTGTGCAAAATTGCGTGGAAAGCACAAGGTCAAACTACTTGACGCCAGTTTTTGAAAATCGCCATGTGTTCAGAACCTAATAAAATACGTTTAAGTTGACAGTGACTGCATTGTATTTGACATTTTTAGATGAAATTCTATATTTTATTTTCTCATTGAATTACAGTTCCAGATACTGCTTAAGAACTTGATAAAACTTCTTATTGTGTAGTATAAACAACTAATCGTTATATCAAATCTATCTGCTATATCACGAACTGATGATGTTTCATGTCCAGCGAACCACAAAATGATGAGTGTTTGCTCATAAGCTGAAAGCTTCTCATTGCCTTCAGTCGATTTTTTGAAGAACCTGTGTTTGTATTTAGTTTATATATCTTCAGCTACTTTGAGAGTCACTCTGTAATGTTCCACGAAATTCACTTCACTGTAAAGAGGTACCGTTACATTTATTTAATGCTCATTTTTTGCTTCTTTTTTTTTCATGAAGCAGTATGTGCAGAATGTTTTCATCATCACTCGAGTCGATATCTGAGATCCAATCGGATTCTGAAATTGAACTATAAGAATCTGATATTTCGGTGAGCAATACAAACGGGTATACACAATAAAAAACTAGTACACATCAAATTTCATTAAAATGGTTATCTGGATTCAATCTTTTCAATTGATACACTAATTAAAGTTTAAACGAAACTCAAACACAAGCTCCCCAACACAATTCAAGAATCATAACCCCAAGACATAAGGCACCTATGACAAAACAAGATCTTGTGCGATACCAGCATTTCAGAAATTCAGAGTCGCGCTAAAATCCTGTGTACTGTTTAGACCGTCAAAACTAGTTCTCAAACCAAAAATTGGTTTGTTGAAACAGCGGTTTTACCCTTGCTTGAACATGCGTTCTCCACTGCGTATGCTCAGTCGGTTCAAACCGTTGCAAATATGTTGCTTGAACATTACTATTTATATCTTCATATTTCGACGACGAGCGTGGTCAGTGAACAAACCGAGTTGGAATAAAGTGTCTGGACTACGCGGCGGCCGAACCTGTGGACATTCTACTGCATCGTGAGCTGACCGGTCGGTCTTTGCAGCAGCCGCAGAGTACGAGAAGACCGATCTGAAGCGAGGAATGCCCTCAGGGGCGCTGGAGCCCCGCCGCATACCTACGCCCAAATATGCCCAGACCTGCTGCAAACTCACACGGCTTCGTCTGCAGTGCCTCGGCAATGACAGCTTCATTTCATAATTCGTGAATGCCCAGATAACAAATTTTATTTGCTACCTACTGGCAATGCGGCTGGACACTATTAGCTAAAGAAACATCACTATAAGATGAGCTTTAGTGAAATCCTCATATTCTTCGATTGAATGGAAGAGCGGATCTTTCTATATGGTAGTAAGATCCGAATTCTAACGTTTGTCAGGAAAGCAGCTAGAATTTGTTGAAGTTCTATGTATTTTTTGTTTGTATGCTAATCTTGGCAATAAAAACCATTTATTATTATTATTATTATTTTTAAGAGAGGGCAGCCAAGCACTTGCTTGCATCCACTCTGGGTAAACGTTGGCCTTCTATGGCTGGTATACTCAGTGACAGTGACAACTTGATTTTTTGGCAACATAATGCCTATATTTAAAGCATGCTCTGGCAGTAATGTCACCGTTTTATTTTTGTTTTTGTTTACCTTTGTTAAAATGTTATCTCTTTAGTTTTTGTGGAGAAAGAGTTTCTGAGAGCTGAGTAGTACATATATTTTTAGTTACTGCCCTTTATTTTACAAGTGATAAGCATAACAAAATGCCAAGAGTTCGAAGACGTCCAAATTATCACCATGTTAGCGACTTTGACAGGGGTAGAACTATTGCCTATCGAGATGTTGGTTTGTCCTATCGCCAAATTGGCTGCCGTGATAATTGTACTGCAATGACCGTAATGCGTGTGTGGATAGAAAAAGGTAGAAGAACACGAAGAAGGCCAACTGGTCCACCGAGACGTACCACAGAGCGACAAGATAGGCGCTTCAGACAACTGCCCTACGAGACCGTTTTGATACTGTGAGTCAGATCGCTGACTAATGGTTTGGAGAGGAAAGTAGACCTGTTCCTATGCGACCACTCTATCGCCGCATTCGGACCTTAGGATTTTTTTTCATACCGGACTGTCGTCAACGTTTGAACTGGAGCAGAGAACGGCAACATTGGGAGGCAGAACGGCAGCGACGAATCGTGATTGTATCTAGGTACGCACGATGGTGGTAGAAGGGTAAGACGCCGCCGTGGAGAACGGCGTGATATTGGATTTGCTGTTGAGAGGCATGTACACAGGACTGTGGGAGTAATGATTTGGGGGGCTATTTCCTAAAGTAGCCGATCACCCTTTTTCTATGTTCAAGGCAATATGACTGCTGCGCGTTAAGTTGATGATGTCCCACAAACCACTTTACTGCCATATCTATGTTGAAGTGCAGCCCACACGTCCTTTTTCAGCAAGTCGCAACGCACATCCCCGTATTACTCGTAGTGCTACGAACTTTCTTAAAAAAGCAGGCGTTAATGTTTTGCCGTGGCCACCTAGTTCACCGGATTTAAATCCCATCGAACATGGTGTGGGATACGTTTGGGAGGAGACTATCCAACTTGCACCAACCGCCACAGTTTCTGCCACAGCTAATCCAGGAAGATCGAGTTGCTTGAAATGAAGTGCCACAACCAGACATCGATCATCTGATTTTGTTGATGCCTAGAATGTATTCAGCTGCGGGGTCGCCCAACACATTGATTTTTTTCTTTTTACTTATCAATAAATTTTGTGACAATTTTATCGATTCATTCTTGATGTAACCTCATTGCCAAAAAATCGTTGAACAAATTATTTTTTCTGGGTGTAACACTTCTAATGTCACTGAGTATATAAGGGAAACTCCGCTGGGTCGCATCACCACCTTATTCAATAGTTTGGAGTGGCTGAAGATCTAGCTTGAGCAAGCCCCACGGAGGACGAACAAGGAGCCGAAGTGATGTGATCTTGACTGAATCTCCCTTCACCAGAAAACAGGCTAGAAAAAAATCATGCCAAAAAGGAAGCTGATGAAATTAAATTGAAAAGCTGATAAAGCCAAAGGCGATCCCTGTAATCTAAACCAGAAGGTTCGTACTTTATCCTTGCCCCAGAATCCATACTGCCTATCGCTAGATCCAGAATCCGTACTGCCTTTCGCTAGATCCAGAATCCGTACTGTCTTTCGCTAATATGGCGGTATGGCTCAAGATACTCCCAAAACCCCTCGACTCTACTCCTCCCTACACATCACGCTAAGAAAACTCTATTCCACAACAACACATTACAACATCATTTCAATGAGCAGTCACAACTGAAAACACTCAAATTTGGAGTACGTAGACGCGCCTCAGTGAAATTCTATTTTAGAGGTGTCTCAAATCCAGCCAAAGGCATAACTGCACATTATTTTCTGCACGATAAACGGCGACGTCGCATCGGCAAAGAAGAAAACGGAATTTATAGGTTGTCGCCCGACACAAATCATCAGGTTGTGTATATGTACTTGAAGAATACGCAGGGACGAACTTCACTGGATGATTGGGAGAAAAGAAAATAATCGATTCTCATTATCGTGATCTAGTTACGGCTAAGGTGAAGTAGAAATAGTGTTATCGATCCCTTCCAGAGCGACAATGTATTTAATTAAGGTCATTGGTTTCAAATTGTTTGTATCTGGGATGTGCATTGTTTATTTTTAAGGAAAAAGCAGGTGAAAAGGTCGTGGGATCCTTTCAGAGCGTCGACGATGCGAGGACACTTAACAGTTTGTTTCGTCGAAGCTCCCTAATAAAAAAAAATCCTGATAATTTGATTAATTCACGCAATTTAACCGTTTTATAACAGTAGCGTTATCCACAACCTCCCGTCAGTTTTTTGACCATACACTAGTGCATGGAAAGTTTCAAACTCTAAATCCTTAGTTCTTATGGCTAGGTAATAATAATAGCATGTTTCCCGTTTTTGGCCCTCCAAATTACAATTGCAATGGTTTAACGAAGATTTTCGATATTAAGAATGATTGATTTATCTCAGGTCTTTCGTGAAATCATTTTCAGTTATGGATGATTTCATTGAAAAATTTTTTTTAAATACAATGTAAATTGACTCAGTACGTCCATGCATTCACATTATGCCCATTACTATAGTATAATCATATTAACAAATTTCCCCGAAATAATTGTAAAGTCTGGATTTATTGGTGCAAGTTGTTCAAGGGGGTATTTAAAACATGGACGCATAA